GGGGACATGATCATGGCCTTCAGGATCGTCCGAGGGCTAGACTGTGCTCTTCAGTTTGACGACTTCTTCGAACTGGCGCGGACGACAAATCTCCGAGGGCACGCATACAAATTGAAGACGAAACATGCCAGACTCGATTTGCGGGCCAAATTCTTCTCTCACCGGCTGGTTGAGGGATGGAACAAATTGCCGAACTCCGTTGTCTTAGCGGAAAATGTCGAGACTTTCAAAAGAAGACTAGATAAACTTATGCTTGATGGTCAAACATTTACATGATATCAATGACTGTCATAACTGCTATGTAAATATCTGCATGCCTTTTTTTATACGTCTATCTATCAATAGGTTTTTCCAAGGCTCTGCCTCTATCCCTTAGATGTGCTGAATTATACTGAATTAAAGTTATGAAAAGGATCATTAAGTCTGAACTGATGCATTTCCTGGAAGCACACGGCCTGCTATCGAAATGCCAACATGGATTCCGGAAGTGAAGATCCCGCACGAAGAACTTATCGCAATCTCTCCAGAGCTGGACTCGAGCTCTCGAAGTCAGGCACGCTGTCCACATGGCTTTCATTGACTCCCAGAAGGCGTTCGACCTTGAGCCACACCTGAGGCTGTTACTTAAAGTAAAAATTGGGACCAGTGTAACTTCCTCAAGTGGATCTAAAACTTCTTTGTGGGTCAACACTAGGTTGCGTGCATCGGTAAAGCGAAATCAGATCCTGCTGTGGTCGAGGGTGGTGTTTTCCAGGGTTCAGTACTGGTACCTATTTTGTTCCTCATATACGTGGACGATTCCGCAAGTGCTTTTGACTGTGAAGCAGCAATGTTTGCTGATGAAATGAAGATATAAATTGTAATACGTGGTCCTGCCGACGAAGACAGACGGCAGATGAACCTAAATCGGTTGGATGAGTGGTCAAACCGTTGGCTCCTGTGGTTCAACGTTGGTAAATGTAATAAACTTCGTCTAGGCAACACAGTCAGACCCGCCAGCACAAAAAACTATTTTCTGGACGATGCATCATTACGAGATGTCGAAGTTCAAAACGGCCTCGGTCTGCTGGCGATGAGTTCCCTCCGCTCATTGTTCGAGATTGGCAAAAGAGCAACGTCAGTACTGTACGGCATCCAGCGTGTGTTCATGGATTTTGACGAAGATGCTTTCTCAAAGACATTCGGAACATTCGTCCGGTCGCATTTAGAGTACGGCATACAAACCTGGAGGCCGTGGGCGGTTGAGGATCAAAATTGTCTCGAAAGAGTTCAAAGGAGAGCCAGAAAGATGGTTGGGGATCAAAGCTCCTTTCCTAATGTAACCAGCCTAGTAAATCTAAACCTCTTTCCTTTGAGTTACAGGCAACTTCGCGGGGATCTCTTGCAATCCTTCCGCATTGTCAAGGGGTTGGATTGCAATCTGGCCTTCGAGGACATTTTTGAATTTGCTACCACGACCAAACTCTGAGGTCATCCGTTAAAACTGCGCATTCAGCAGGCAAGGCTGGATGTGCGGAAGTTCTCCTTCTCTGTCCGAGGGGTCCAACCATGGAATGCTCCCTGCAGACTTTGTGATGTCACTATCCTTACAAAGCTTTTTGAAGAACCTCAACCTGTTTATGTTCCGAAATGACCAATAGCGATGAAAAGTCGAGTTCACCCCTGTAACTATCTCCCATTTTGTTCAACAGTTATGGACTAAGTTGAAATATTTCAACCTAGAAACTTCTTTTGTACACCGCAAATGTTTACGTTGCAAATAGGGTATTCGAGTGCTTACGCTTATTTTCCTCAATAAAGTGAACTGAACAGGCATTTGGAAAACTCCTGTGCGATGAACTGTTATGATCCGGCCTGGTACTTGATAGCCCGTGGAGCGTATACCTACTAGAGCCTTGTCCCCAATACCAAGGCGGCAGACAAGGGAAGCACGACCGGCCACGGGAAGTGTATTTGAATGATCGCGCGTCGCGACTAGTTGAAAGGTGAATATTATGTATGCATGCTATTGTCGTTCCTGGCATTCGGCCCAATGCCCTTCGGGAAGAGGGGAGCAGCCAATGATGACGCGCCACGATTAAGATGACAGCGCTATAGAGAGAACAAACGCACGTGGTCTCCAGTGAGTGGTTGACCCGTGTTTTTGGGAGTGTGGGCACTCCCAACATCACCAGAAGTCAAACAAATGTCACAAACTTTGTCAAAAAGACACGACGGTCTAAGCGCAAGGCGAAAACTGATACGATCGACCAAATTTATCATTTTACTTTTTTGGCATGTGCTAAAAATGAACCACCGAAATTTTCCTAGAGAACATGTGATTTTAAACTTTAGGTAAGATGACGTACGTTATCCTGCAGACTGCGGAAGTTTTATATGGTTACCATTTCCTTGAACAATGAATCCTGAAATTGCCATGCAAAAATCGCCGATTTCGCCATGCTTACGTCGGTGTTGTGAAAGTCTACGACTAAATTTGTACATTTTATTCTTCATTTAACGAATTTTTTTTAACTGGGACGAACGAAACATCATCGAGGTCACTCAGACGAACTGGAGATGAATTCTGCCGAGACTGATGTTAGGGATTGCGCATTTTATCACCAGACTCTTGAACAAAGAACATTCGACTGAACCTTGTTGTTTTGTTGGAGATCGTGAAGACATTGTGAAGGTAACTTGATAGCCTGCCACTTGAGTAGCATATGCACTCTCAACATGAATGACTGATATAGTGCCCTGCGATTGTTATGCATTTACGCTTTTGAATTCAACTGTAGGTCCGTAGAAATTGCCCTGGGGACGATGCCTATCCTTCATATATGTACTGGATAGTAATTATATTTGTAATACAAGAAACTACCAAACAGCAAACTTCAATTTTTATATGATACAAATCGTTCTTAAAACTTTTGTGTTTTTTCCTTGGAAATCAGTTTTTTAAACTTAAAACAAACTCTCAATTCGCGCTCTATTGGCTAAACAGACACTCTAAACAAATAAGGTCAAAGTGAAATCGAAATGAATGAGTTTGTTTTAGGTTTTTTCCTGTGTTCAAGGGAAACTGACAGTTCCCAAGGGGCGCTATAATAAACCTATTCTTTTCTAATCTAGTTGGATGCTGTAGACATGTAGGGAGAGGAACTATGCGGGATGGAGGGGAAGAGGACAAAGAAAGGGGAGAGAGAGGCAGTGGGCAATGTGAATGAGCGGGGGATAGGGAAGACGGAGGAACAGGGGTTAGGGGGTCAACACATTTTTGTCCTTGTGACAGGTCCGGCGGCTCCTCTGCAACAGCAGCCTTGACCCTAAAAGATCGCCAGGGAAATACGTTGTCTGACAACTCAGATAAGGCGAATCTGTTATCCGACTTCTTCACGTCTGTGTACACTGAGGAGCCGGCTTTTGATGAAAGAGTTTACCCCCCAAATGTCAAATCCAATAGTACAATTAGCACGGTGGACTTCACAACAGACACGGTAAGGAAAACTTTGAGGCAACTACAGCCCACTTAATCCCCTGGTCCGGACGGCGTGTTCGCGAAAGTTCTGAATGAGCTCTCAGACCAACTGGCCTCTCCGTTAT